CAACATCATGGCACATAATGAAGTGCAGACCTCAGTGCAGTAGTATGAAGTCCAATGATTACAGCGGTACTGGTACATTACATTACATAGTGCTATAAGACAACACACCATCACAAGTCATTAAGTTAGGGGGAAGATAAGAGGAGGAGGGTTGGGTCAGAATTGGCCCCTACAGTGACTTCAGAAAGTATTCACACCCCCTGACTTTTTCCACATTTTGTTGTGTTACAGCCTGAATTTTAAATGGATTAAATTGAGATGTAGTGTCCTACACACAATACCCCATAATGTCAAAGTGGAATTATGTTTCTCGACATTTTTACAAATTAATAAAAATCAAAAGCTGAAATGTCTTGAGTCAATAAGTATTCAACCCCTTTGTTATGGCAAGTCTACATAAGTTCAGGAGAAAAAATGTGCTTAACAAGTCACATAAATTGCATGGACTCACTCTGTGTGCAAAAATAGTGGTTAACATGATTTTGTTTTTAATTGACTACCTCATCTCTGTAGCCTACACATACAATTATCTGTAAGGTCTTATCTGTAAGATCCCTCAGTCAAGAAGTGAATTTCAAACAGATTAAAAAAATTGAATCTCCCCTTTGAGCATGTCAAATTATGAATTACACTTTGGATGGTGTATCAATACACCCAGTCACTACAAAGATACAGGCGTCCTTCCTAACTCAGTTGCCGGAGAGGAAGGAAACCGCTCAGGGATTTCACCATGAGGCCAATGGTGACTTTAAAACAGTTACAGTTTAATGGCTGTGATTGGAGAAAACTGAGGATAGATCAACAACATTGTAGTTACTCCACAATACTAACCTAATTGACAGAGTGAAATGAAGGAAGCCTGTTCAGAATAAAAAATACTCCAAAACATGCATCCGGTTTACAACAAGGCACTAAAGTAATACTGCAAAACATTTGGCAAAGCAATTCACTTTTTGTCCTGAATACAAAGTGTTATGTTTGGGGCAAATCCAATACAACACATTACTGAGTACCACTATCCATATGTTCAAGCATAGTGGTGGCTGCATCATGTTATGGGTATGCTTGTAATCGTTAAGGACTGGGGAGTTTTTCAGTATAATAATGAAACGGAATGGAGCTAAGCACAGGCAAAATCCCAGAGGAAAACCTGGTTCTGTCTGCTTTCCACCAGACACTGGGAGTTGAATTCACCATTTTGCAGGACAATAACCTAAAACACAAGCCCAAATCTACTCTGGAGTTGCTTACCAAGAAGACAGTGAATGTTCCTGAGTGGCCTAGTTACAGTTTTGACTTAAATCTGCTTGAAAATCTATGACAAGACCTGAAATAGTCTAACAATGATCAACAACCAATTTGACAGAACTTTGACAGAGCCTTACCCAGAAAGACTCACAGCTGTAGTTGCTGCCAAAGGTGCTTCTAACATGTATTGACTCAGGGGGTTGAGTACTTATCTAATCAAGATATTTGTGTTTTTTTGTGTGTTTTTTTCCATATTTTTTTCTCAACAAAATTGTATAATTGTTTGTGTAGATCGTTGACAAAAAATGACAATTAAATCTATTTTAATCCCACTTTCTAACACAACAAAATGTTGAAAAAGTCAAGGGGTGTGAATACTTTCGGAAGGCACTGTAAGTGGAAAACAGCAGGGGACCCAGCACTGAGCCCTGTGGGACATAGTGAGGATACAGATCCTCACAAAAGTTCCTTGTTAGATGCCAAAGTAGTTTGGTGATTCTGTAAGCAACAGTTGAAGTAGTGTTAACAAAGATTTTTTACATACATCTATGGTTCAAGACAGTTGTTGGTAGCACTCCTATTTGTGACGTGCATTAATGCAACATTAACATTCCCCATTTATTTATTTATATATATATATATATATATATATATATATATATATATATATATATATATATATATATATATATATATAAAATGCATCCTATATGATGAAGAAAGTATGGAGTAGAAAACATACAAATCAATACCAACCAGGAAATTAAAATTAAAGACAATATTGTTATAAAAAAATAATTCAGTGTCCACTACCATTTACGAAGAATCAAGGTACAGAAAAGAGGAAACTACAAATATGACAGACAATTGACAGCAGCTGTCCTCACAATCAACATGAAAACAATTCAACATCAATGTCTAGATACTAACATAAACAGTGTTCTGAGACTCCATTAACCCAATGAGTCCCACCATAACGCCAGCGCGTATTGGACTTCTAACCCCTTTTAAACATTGTGTGTTTGAGCTACATACTTCTGGGTTGTACTATTGGATTAATCTATTTCTTCTGCATCCGTAGATACTTAGTATGTGTGATTAACGGGGGCTGAGCTTGAGCTGTGTTGTGAGACAAGGGCGGATGCCGAAGGGGCTCAGGGCCGGGTCTTGACGCTCACATGCTACACACGAGTCGTTAGAAGGTAAGGGCTTCTTCTACATAGAAGATCATAGGAAATCCCAGGACATAGTGTCTATAATACTGTACTAAGCTCACATAGTTGCTATCAAACTCCAAAGAGTTGTCACTAACGAGTTGGATATTCGTTTCCCAGTGAGCAAAAAAATTCTGTACTTACAGCATTCATATAAATTCTTTTTTAGCAAGTGCTTTGGCTGAACTTTTTTTATTGACATTTGTCAAAACTGTGTTCTACTTGTAGCCCTGGTAACACAATCCATTGTGAGGCTAAATATAAGGGCTGTACATGCAGATACATTTAAATCAGATTTTTGCTGGGGTCTCGGGACTGATAGGGTTAAGTCACATTAGGATCAGAAAACTCAAACATTATTATCATACATTCAAATGATCAAAAGTAATCGACTCAGCAGTAGTGAAAACATCTACATAAAAACAAGAAAACTTAAGAGTAAAAAAAAAAAGTCAGAGCCTGAAGGTAAGGAGGTGCCGTTCCCCTCACAGCTCCGTAGGCAAGCACCATGGTTTTGTAGTAGATGCGAGCTTCAACTGGAAGCCAGTGGAGTGTGCGGAGGAGCAGGTGACATGAGAGAACTTGGGAAGGTTGAACACCAGACGGGCTGTAGCGTTCTGGATAAGTTGTAGGGGTTTAATGGCACAGGCAGGGAGCCCAGCCAACAGCGAGTTATAATAATAATAATATGCCATTTAGCAGACGCTTTTATCCAAAGCGACTTACAGTCATGCGTGCATACATTTTTTTTGTGTATGGGTGGTCCCGGGGATCGAACCCACTACCTTGGCGTTACAAGCGCCGTGCTCTACCAGCTGAGCTACAGAGTTGCAGTAATCCAGATGGGAGATGACAAGTGCTGGATTAGGACCTGTGCCGCTTTCTGTGTAAGGTAGGGTCGTACTCTGCGAATGTTGTAGAGCATATCAGAGCATATGTAGTAGTACTAGTAGGAGGATTTATGAACAATGTTAACACTGTCATAAGGCCTGCGTAACACTGTCATAAGGCCTGCGTAACACTGTCATAAGGCCTGCGTAACACTGTCATAAGGCCTGCGTAACCCTGTCATAAAGCCTGCGTAACACTGTCATAAGGCCTGCATAACACTGTCATAAGGCCTGTATAACACTGTCATAAGGCCTGCATAACACTGTCATAAGGCCTGCATAACACTGTCATAAGACTGACATAGATATGAATAGGCGTCATGCTAGTTTATAACAAAATTATGTATGACAGACAGTCATGTTGCAAGCAAGGGTCTCTTTCATTGCCGGTCATTTCATTGCAGGGGCGCAACTTTGATTTTAGAAGTGGGGGGGGGACATTATTATTATTATTTTTTTTCAGTCTGATAAACACTCCAAACAGCCTACCCGACCGCTCGGAGGCGTCCGCATAGTCCTAAAGCCCACCGTTACCTTGTTTTGTATCAAATTCCAATGATAAAACTGTGGGGGGACAAAAAACGAATTTCAGAATATGGGGGAGGGCATGTCCGCCTGTCCCCAGTAAAAGTTGCGCCCCTGATCTGTGGTACACTAAAACGTGTGTTTCAGTGCATAATATATTACTAATATAACATAATATATAACTTTATTCAGCCAGGTAAGTAAATTCTCCTTCAAACCATTCATAAAAGGTTTATGGAGCAAATATCAAAGATATAACACATAATGACAGTTTCATGGCAACTTTAAGTTTACCTTATGGTCTAGGCATTATAGCATTGTTCAAATAAGGTGTTACTAGTGGAATTTCTTTTTGGTAGGAACATCATAACACATTCTTTAAAAAATATGTGTAAAAAAGTCAAGCAAAGGAACTCTTTTACCATATAATTATGGAATGCAGTTCAATCACGGAACTACTCTTCCTTATAGCAATCCATAAACCAACTTTCCCACAACTTAATATCCAACTTCTTCCCAAAATAATTACTTGTATAGCCTTCTGTAAAAGACTGACTAAAAATGACATTTTTTATCTTGAAAACAACAGGCCACAGCCTACCAGACAACAGCAGAAACACTGTTGATTTATGACACATAAATGGACCAAAAGTCCAAAGAAGAAGGTACTTTTAAAGGGGTGTCTATTGGCTATGAGGTTAGAGTTAACATTTAGTGTCGTTTGAAGTTCTACATGGCCCTACAATCAACTTGTGGTTCTTAGTGATTTCCCTTTTGTCAAAGTTTCCTTCAAAATAAATGTCCCATTAAAGTGGTTTCCTCAATGTGACAACAGAGCACAAAGGAGCCCCTAGTAAGTAAAAGAGAGGGCACTAGGTTGCACTGGGTAAAATGTATCTCGACTGTCGCAGAAGTTTGTGACCCAGTTCAAGTACTTTCAATCTGATTCCTATAGAAAAAGACAAAAAAGGTATCCACAGCCAACCAATACTACCACCCAGCTTAGATGGCACAAAACAGGGAGGTGAAGGCAGACGGGGGGCGCTGAGAGTGTGCACAGTGTATTCTCTGTCAGAGATGGCAGCCTACCGTCTGGACAGAAGTGGGACAGAGCTCCACTTATCTACACATGACTGCGGAAGTGGTGGGGAAAGGTCAGTGGTTGCCTGCTCCTCAACGGGATGAACCACAGAATTTTCCAGGTAGTGCCAAACACCTCGGCCAGAGTCCGCTGCCAGGATTTATTTGACCCACCACCAGACCCGCCTCTGAAAGAGAAAGTGAAAATAATGTGCACAAGCATGCGCACAGATCTCAAGTCTGAATGGGCCCAAAAGAGAAACACCAAATTCAACTTAATGGTACTGCAATGTTTTGTCAACTAGCTGGACAAATTGTTTCCAATCAGATAAGTAAAATCTGAACCTGAAGAGGCTGTCCACAGAGCTCAGCAAAGGATTTTCTTGGAAAAGGAACAAACCCATGGTACTTACATTTCATTTGAGAAGTGAGCCATTTTCTCAATGGTGGTGGTGTCCTGTTAGGTGGTAACACAAGAGGAACATAGTCTAAACATTGATAGATTTCACATCTTTGAGTAGGGTGGCTACGAGCATTGGGCCAGTAACCAAAAGGTTGCTGGTTCGAATCCCAGAGCCGACTAGGTGAAAAATCTGTAGATGTGCCCTTGAGCAAAGCACTTAACCCTAATTGCTCCTGTAAGTCGCTCTGTAATGTAACTGTAGTTTGCATGATCACAGGCTGCCCTGGAATATGTATTTGCATGTGTACTAATTAGCCAGGTAAATGTCTCCAAATGGAGGCCTTACACACAAAGCGCTACATCAAACAGATAACACACCACATGCAAATTAGGAGACATTAATGCGCCCGCCCGCCCGTGCTGTGAGGCCCAGGTTTACAAATTAAGTTGTTTTTTGAAAAGGACATCTCTACGTGTTAATTCAACAAGCAAATAGCCTAACTAGCACATTACTATCCATGGTTATTCTCAATTGATAACATGCTGTTATCATCTTTACTTATTCCTGACGGGTTGTTTTTCTCTGTGAACAACAAACAACTGATCAACATCCTGCCGTTCCCTTCCTTACCATATGATTTGTTGTCTGAAAAGAACCTATGGCTTCTGGTGGCATGCACCCATACATTGAGACCTGGACGTGTAGGGATTTGGCCAATCACCAAATCTGTTACTAAGCTTGTTCATGGGTCTATGCAACAAGACAAGTACAGAACTAACTATGCCTTCCAGGCCCCAATCCCTTAATGTCATCAAGTAGAAAAAGTATGTGTGGCTACCAGAAAGACCCATGTTTACCCAGAGGGACAGTAACCGAAATAAAGACTTAGCAGTCCAGATAAGAGGGTTTTACACAGCTGGGCTCACATGTAAGCTGTTAAGTCTACTGCACCTTGGTGCTGGTGTATTACATCCTGGAAATCCACTCACAGAGGTTAAAGGTGAGGGCTCATCTGGTTAGGAGTCATGACAGTCAAGGACACGGTCAAGTTTACAAACACATCCTAATATTCTCACTACTCCAACAACAATAGCTAAGAATCTGGATTGAGTGTGCGGACACTAGTCGCATACCCAGGGAATGGAATTGAGGCAGATTGGCATACATCAGAATGAGAAAATAACTAGGTTGCATGAAATGGGCAGTGTAAACAGTGCATAACTTGCTACTTTGATATATAACAAATACATTGATATTTACTTGACTACAATTTTCTGACCACAATCTCTAACAAGAGACAGTAGGAAGAGTAGCTGCTGCTTCTGCAAAAGCTAATGGAGATTCAAATAAACAGGAGAGCGATTTGACTCACTGTCAGGATGCCAGCCACCTGAGTATAGAAGAGGCTGCTCATGCCTCCGAACATCACCAGACCCATGCTTGCAGACACTCGTATCAGGGCGAGCTCATGACGTGCCATGAATGCCTCCTGTGAGAGAACAACCAGAAGAGGCCAAAGTCAACTTCACAGCACCATGCATACCCCCGTCCTCCTTTCACACATTCAGCATAGTACCCACCTACACCTCCTACTCTGCATGTAAAGACCTGGGCTTACAAACCTTGGGAGTCCCGACGCACCCATCTGTGCAGATTCTTTGCCCAGAAGCTTGCAAAATCCCAGGAATACAGCACATGGCTGTCTCAGACGAGGCCGTTTCTGTGGCAGATCTACCCGATCCAGTCAAACGGAACCTTCCCATACTCTCACTGATAAATATGACTACCGCCCTATGCCTGCCTACTTTGTAAGACTGCTCAATGCTGCTTAACTGTGAAAAAGGTTTTACGAAATATGAAATACCAGTAACTTTAAAAATATATTTGTTTTGTTTATTTGCACACGCTATTTGCACACGCCTATGTATGCTGCAATTCAGCTTTCAGCTGCAAATGTGTGCATCTCTATTCAAATGTTCATCATCAAGGCATAGAAGGGAGGGTGGTTTTAGGGGTCTGACAGGCAGTTATCTGTAAGAGCTTGATTACACACTTTCCAAGGAAATATGGACAAATCTTGACTTGAATTAGAAAGTAATCCAAATCGTTGTTGACGACATTCTTCCTTGTGATTGCTATTACTAAATAAAACCAAGTAATGAAACCAAGCTGTCCAATAATTAATTCCTATTCATTCTAGTTTAGTGTTAAAGGCCTCACTTTTCATTCTTGACTTTACCTGGTCCAATGTGGTCAAGGGCTGGAAGTAATAGAACTGGCAGAAGTCCAGAGCCAGGGTGAACAAACTGAGGACCTGTGTGTAAAAACAGAGTTGCAAGAAGAGCCAGTGGTTGTCCTCCCCTACACAATTATTTATCCTGCCAGGAGACAAGAGGGAGAAAAATACATTTTACAGGACTGCTCAAAGGCCTAGTTACAAGCTAGGAAAATATCAAGCACATTTTCCAAACAAGATAAACAGATATCTAGGCCTAAACCGTTCAATTAACTGTCTATCGATTTTAGCAATATGTGGCAATCCTGGAGGTGCTGCTAAAGAGGTGCAGAGCTAACTACTGTCCAGTTGTCCCCCTCTCTTGGCCGGTTCAGTGAAAGACACCCTGACAATATCACCATCAGCTCATTTAATGCAACAGAAAATTCTAAATGCCCACCCAGAACAAGCTGTCTTGTTTAGCTGAATGTCCTATGGGAATGCTAGATGTTTTCGAAGCCTTACCATGGACAATGGTGGTCCATTCTACGTACACAATGGCCACAGCGACTGCAGTGGTGGGACCGTTTTGGTCTCATCATGTTGCACTTGGTACACATTTCCCACTGCTCTCGTTCTGAAACAAAGTAAAAGAAAAAGTGTCATGACTGACCATGTCAAATTATATACTGTTGCCATGACCCAGGCAACAAACCTTATATCAGTGGATCTTATCCCAAGTGTACAAAACATAAAGACCAACTTTCTAATATTGAGTTGCCCCCTGTCTATGTCATGGACAGAGCAAGTGTTCTTAATGTTTTGTACACTCAGTATATATATATATATATATATATATATATATATATATATATATATATATATATAGTCATTAAAACTTGTTTTTCAACCACTCCACAAATGTCTTGTTAACAAACTATCGTTTTGGCAAGTCGGTTAGGACATCTACTTTGTGCATGACAAGTAGTTTTTCCAACAATTGTTTACAGACAGATTATTTTACTTATAATTCACTGTATCACAATTCCAGTGGGTCAGAAGTTTACATACACTAAGTTGACTGTGCCTTTAAACAGCTTGGAAAATTCCAGAAAATTATGTCATGGCTTTAGAAGCTTCTGATAGGCTAATTGACATCATTTGAGTCAATTGGAGGTCTACCTGTGGATGTATTTCAAGGCCTACCTTCAAACTCAGTGCCTCTTTGCTTGACATCATGGGAAAGTCAAAAGAAATCAGCCAAAACCTCTGAAAAAAAATTGTAGACCTCCACAAGTCTGGTTCATCCTTGGGAGCAATTTCCAAACGCCTGAAGGTACCACGTTCATCTGTACAAACAATAGTACGCAAGTATAAACACCATGGGACCATGCAGCCGTCATACCGCTCAGGAAGGAGACGTGTTCTGTCTCCTAGAGATGAACTTAATTGGGTGTGAAAAGTGCAAATCAATCCCAGAACAACAGCAAAGGACCTTGTGAAGATGCTGGAGGAAACAGGTACAAAAGTATCTATATCCACAGTAAAACGAGTCCTATATCGACATAACCTGAAAGGCCGCTCAGCAAGGAAGAAGCCACTGCTCCAAAACCGCCATAAAAAAGCCAGACTACGGTTTTTGGAGAAATGTCATCTGATCTGATGAAACAAAAATAGAACTGTTTGGCCATAATGACCATCGTTATGTTTGGAGGAAAAAGGGGATTGCTTGCAATGCGAAGAACACCGTCCCAAACGTGAAGCACGGGGGTGGCAGCATCATGCTGTGGGGGTGCTTTGCTGCAGGAGGGACTGGTGCTCTTCACAAAATAGATGGCATCATGAGGAAGGAAAATTATGTGGATATATTGATGCAACATCTCAAGACATCAGTCAGGAAGTTCAAGCTTGGTCGCAAATGGGTCTTCCAAATGGACAATGACCCCAAGCATTCTTCCAAAGTTGTGGCAAAATGGCTTAAGGACAACAAAGTCAAGGTATTGGAGTGGCCATCACAAAGTCCTGACCTCAATCCCATAGAACATTTGTGGGCAGAACTGAAAAAGCGTGTGCGAGCAAGGAGGCCTACAAACCTGACTCAGTTACACCAGCTCTGTCAGGAGGAATGGGCCAAAATTCACCCAAATTATTGTGGGAGCTTGTGGATGGCTACCCGAAATGTTTGACCCAAGTTAAACAATTGAAAAGCAATGCTACCAAATACTAATTGAGTGTATGTAAACTTCTGACCCACTGGGAATGTGATGAAAGAAATACAAGCTGAAATAAATTATTCTCTCTACTATTATTCTGACATTTCACATTCTTAAAATAAAGTGGTGATCCTAACTGACCTAAGACAGGGAATTTTTACTAGGATTAAAATGTCAGGAATTGTGAAAAACTGAGTTTAAATGTATTTGGCTAAGGTGTATGTAAACTTCCGACCAACTGTATATACATACACACACACACACTACCGTTCAAAAGTTTGGGGTCACTTAGAAATGTTAATGTTGTTAATGTTGTAAATGGCTTTTGTAGCTGGAAACGGCTGATTTTTTTGGGAATATCTACATAGGCGTACAGAGGCCAATTATCAGCAACCATCAGTCCTGTGTTCCAATGGCACGTTGTGTTTGCTAATCCAAGTTTATCATTTTAAAAGGCTAATTGATCATTAGAAAACCCTTTTGCAATTATGTTAGCACAGCTGAAAACGGTTCTGCTGATTAAAGAAGCAATAAAACTGGCCTTCTTGAGAATAGTTGAGTATCTAGAGCATCAGCAATTGTGAGTTTGATTACAGGCTCAAAAAATGGCCAGAAACAAATAACTTTCTTCTGAAACTCATCAGTCTATTCTTGCTCTGAGAAACGAAGGCTATTCCATGCGAGAAACTGCCAAAAAACTGAAGATCTCGTACAACGCTGTGTACTACTCCCTTCACAGAACAGTGCAAACTGTCTCTAACCAGAATAGAAAGAGAAGTGGGAGGCCCCGGTGCACAACTGAGCAAGAGGACAAATACATTAGAGTGTCTAGTTTGAGAAACAGATGCCTCACAGGTCCTCAACTGGCAGCTTCATTAAATAGTACCCGCAAAACACCAGTCTCAACAGTGAAGAGGTGACTCCGGGATGCTGACCTTCTAGGCAGAGTTGCAAAGAAAAAGCCATATATCAGACTGGCCAATAAAAATAAAAGATTAAGATGGGCAAAAGAACACAGACACTGGACAGAGGAAGATTGAAAAAAAAGTGTTATGGACAGACAAATCGAAGTTTGAGGTGTTCGGATCACAAAGAAGAACATTTGTGAGACACAAACCAAATGAAAAGATGCTGGAGGAGTGCTTGATGCCATCTGTCTAGCATGGTGGAGGCAATGTGATGGTCTGGGTGTGCTTTGGTGGTGGTAAAGTGGGAGATTTGTACAGGGTAAAAGGGATCTTGAAGAAGGAAGGCTATCACTCCATTTTGAAACGCCATGCCATACCCTGTGGACGGCGCTTGATTGGAGCCAATTTCCTCCTACAAGAGGACAATGACCCAAAGCACAGCTCCAAACTATGCAAGAACTATTTAGGGAAAAAGCAGTCAGCTGGTATTTTGTCTATAATGGAGTGGCCAGCACAGTCACTGGATCTCAACCCTATTGAGCTGTTGTGGGAGAAGCTTGACCGTATGGTACGTATGAAGTGCCCATCAAGCCAATCCAACTTGTGGGAGGTGTTTCAGGAAGCATGGGGTGAAATCTCTTCAGATTACCTCAACAAATTGACAACTAGAATGCCAAAGGTCTGCAAGGCTGTAATTGCTGCAAATGGAGGATTCTTTGACGAAAGCAAAGTTTGAAGGACACAATTATTATTTCAATTAAAAATCATTATTTCTAACCTTGTCAATGACTACATTTCCTATTCATTTTGCTATATTTCCTATTCAAACTCATTTCATGTATGTTTTCATGGAAAACAAGGAACCTTTTTCAGGACCTGTCTTTCAAAGATAATTCGTAAAAATCAAAATAACTTAACAGATCTTCACTGTAAAGGGTTTAAACCCTGTTTCCAATGCTTGTTCAATGAACCATAAACAATTAATGAACATGTACCTGTGGAACGGTCGTTAAGACACTAACATCTTACAGACGGTAGGCAATTAAGGTCACAGTTATGAAAACTTAGGACACTAAAAGAGCCCTTTCTACTGACTCTGAAAAACACCAAAAGAAAGATGCCCAGGGTCCCTGCTCATCTGCGTGAACGTGCCTTAGGCATGCTGCAAGGAGGCATGAGTACTGTAGATGTGGCCAGGGCAATAAATTGCAATGTCCGTACTGTGAGACGCCTAAGACAGCACTACAGGGAGACAGGACGGACAGCTGATCGTCATCGCAGTGGCAGACCACATGTAACAACACCTGCACAGGATCGGTAAATCCAAACATCATACCTGCGGGACAGGTACAGGATGGCAACAACAACTGCCCGAGTTACACCAGGAACGCACAATCCCTCCATCAGTGCTCAGACTGTCCGCAATAGGCTGAGAAAGGCTGGACTGAGGGCTTGTAGGCCTGTTGTAAGGCAGGTCCTCACCAGACATCACCGGCAACAACGTCGCCTATGGGCACAAACCCACCGTCGCTGGAACAGACAGGACTAGCAAAAAGTGCTCTTTACTGACGAGTCGAGGTTTTGTCTCACCAGGGTGATGGTCGGATTCGCGTTTATCGTCGAAGGAATGAGTGTTACACCGTGGCCTGTACTCTGAAGCGGGATCGATTTGGAGGTGGAGGATCCGTCATGGTCTGGGGCAATGTGTCACAGCATCATCAGACTGAGGTTGTTGTCATTGCAGGCAATCTCAACGCTGTGCGTTACAGGGAAGACATCCACCTCCCTCATGTGGTACCCTTCCTGCAGGCTCATCCTGACATGACCCTCCAGCATGACAATGCCACCAGACATACTGCTCGTTCTGTGCGTGATTTCCTGCAAGACAGTGTTCTGCCATGGCCAGCGAACAGCCCGGATCTCAATAACATTAAGCACGTCTGGGACCTGTTGGATCGGAGGGTGAGGGCTAGGGCAATTCCCCCCAGAAATGTCAGGGAACGTGCAGGTGCCTTGGTGGAAGAGTGGGGTAACATCTCACAGCAAGAACTGGCAAATCTGGTGCAGTCCGTGAGGAGGAGATGCACTGCAGTACTTAATGCAGCTGGTGGCCACACCAGATACTGACTGTTACTTTTAATTTTGACCCCCCCCTTTGTTCAGGGACACATTATTCAATTTCTGTTAGTCACATTACATTTACATTTACATTTTAGTCATTTAGCAGACGCTCTTATCCAGAGCGACTTACAGTTAGTGAGTGCATACATTTTCATACTTAAATATTTTGCTTATTATAAGTATTTGTAATTTTACATCCAAAGTTTGTTAAAAAGTCACATGTCTGTGGAACTTGTTCAGTTAATGTCTCAGTTGTTGAATCTTGTTATGTTCATACAAATATTTACACATGTTAAGTTGGCTGAAAATAAACGCAGTTGACAGTGAGAGGACGTTTCTTTTTTTGCTGAGTTTATATACAGTACCAGTCAAAAGTTTGGACACACCTACTCATTCAAGGGTTTTCTTTATTTTTTACTCTTTTCTACACTGCTCAAAAAAATAAAGGGAACACTAAAATAACACATCCTAGATCTGAATGAATGAAATAATCCTATTAAATACTTTTTTCTTTACATAGTTGAATGTGCTGACAACAAAATCACACTAAAATTATCAATGGAAATCAAATTTATCAACCCATGGAGGTCTGGATTTGGAGTCACCCTCAAAATTAAAGTGGAAAACCACACTACAGGCTGATCCAACTTTGATGTAATGTCCTTAAAACAAGTCAAAATGAGGCTCAGTAGTGTGTGTGGTCTCCACGTGCCTGTATGACCTCCCTACAAAGCCTGGGCATGCTCCTGATGAGGTGGCGGATGGTCTCCTGAGGGATCTCCTCCCAGACCTGGACTAAAGCATCTGCCAACTCCTGGACAGTCTGTGGTGCAACGTGGCGTTGGTGGATGGAGCGAGACATGATGTCCCAGATGTGCTCAATTGGATTCAGGTCTGGGGAACGGGCGGGCCAGTCCATAGCATCAATGCCTTCCTCTTGCAGGAACTGCTGACACACTCCAGCCACATGAGGTCTAGCATTGTCTTGCATTAGGAGGAACCCAGGGCCAACCGTACCAGCATATGGTCTCACAAGGGGTCTGAGGATCTCATCTCGGTACCTAATGGCAGTCAGGCTACCTCTGGCGAGCACATGGAGGGCTGTGCGGCCCCCCAAAGAAATGCCACCCCACACCATGACTGACCCACCGCCAAACCGGTCATGCTGGAGGATGTTGCAGGCAGCAAAACGTTCTCCACGGCGTCTCCAGACTCTGTCACGTCTGTCACATGTGCTCAGTGTGAACCTGCTTTCATCTGTGAAGAGCACAGGGCGCCAGTGGCGAATTTGCCAATCTTGGTGTTCTCTGGCAAATGCCAAACGTCCTGCACGGTGTTGGGCTGTAAGCACAACCCCCACCTGTGGACGTCGGGCCCTCATACCACCCTCATGGAGTCTGTTTCTGACCGTTTGAGCAGACACATGCACATTTGTGGCCTGCTGGAGGTCATTTTGCAGGGCTCTGGCAGTGCTCCTCCTGCTCCTCCTTGCAAAGGCGGAGGTAGCAGTCCTGCTGCTGGGTTGTTGCCCTCCTACGGCCTCCTCCACGTCTCCTGATGTACTGGCCTGTCTCCTGGTAGCGCCTCCATGCTCTGGACACTACGCTGACAGACACAGCAAACCTTCTTGCCACAGCTCGCATTGATGTGCCATCCTGGATGAGCTGCACTACCTGAGCCACTTGTGTGGGTTGTAGACTCCGTCTCATGCTACCACTAGAGTGAAAGCACCGCCAGCATTCAAAAGTGACCAAAACATCAGCCAGGAAGCATAGGAACTGAGAAGTGGTCTGTGGTCACCACCTGCAAAACCAGTCCTTTATTGGGGGTGTCTTGCTAATTGCCTATAATTTCCACCTGTTATCTATTCCATTTGCACAACAGCATGTGCAATTTATTGTCAATCAGTGTTGCTTCCTAAGTGGACAGTTTGATTTCACAGAAGTGTGATTGACTTGGAGTTACATTGTGTTGTTTAAGTGTTCCCTTTATTTTTTTGAGCAGTGTATATTGTAGAATAATAGTGAAGACATCAAAACTATGATATAACACATATGGAATCAAGTCGTAACCAAAAAAAGTGTTAAACAAATCAAAATATATTTTATATTTGAGATTCTTCAAATAGCCACCCTTTGCCTTGATGACAGCTTTGCACACCCTTGGCATTCTCTCAACTAGCTTCATGAGGTAGTCACCAGGAATGCATTTCAATTAACAGGTGTACCTTTTTAAAAGTTAATTTGTGTAATTTCTTTCCTTCTTAATGTGTTTGAGTCAATCAGTTGTGTTGTGACAAGGTAGGGGGGTATACAGAAGATAGCCCTACTTGGTAAAAGACCAAGTCCATATTATGGCAAGAACAGCTCAAATAAGCAAAGAGAAACGACAGTCCATCATTACTTTAAGACATGAAGGTCAGTCAATACGGAACATTTCAAGAACTTTGAAAGTTTCTTCAAGTGCAGTCGCAAAAACAATCAGGCGTTATGATGAAACTGGCTCTAATGAGGACCGCCACAGGAATGGAAGACCCAGAGTTACCTCTGCTGCAGAGGATAAGTTCATTAGTTACCAGCCTCAGAAATTGCAGCCCAAATAAATGCTTCACAGATTTCAAGTCACAGACACATCTCAACATCAACTGTGTGAATCAGGCCTTCATGGTCAAATTGCTGCAAAGAAACCACTACTAAAGGACACCAATAAGAAGAAGCGACCCGCTTGGGCCAAGAAAAAACAAGTGCAATGGACATTAGACCGGTGGAAATTTGATATTTGGTCTGGAGTCCAAATTTGAGATTTTTGGTTCTAACCGCCGTGTCTTTGTGAGACGCGGTGTGGGTGAACGGATGATCTCCGCATGTGTAGTTCCCACCGTAAAGCATGGAGGAGGAGGTGTTATGGTGTCGGGGTGCTTTGCTGGTGACACTGTCTGTGATTTATTTAGAATTCAAGGCACACTTAACCAGCATGGCTACCACAGCATTCTGCAGCGATATGCCATCCCATCTGGTTTGGGCTTAGTGGGACTATCATTTGTTTTCAACAGGACAATGACCCAACAAACCTCCAGGCTGTGTAAGGGCTATTTTATCAAGAAGGAGAGTGATGGAAAAGCAACCAACAAGTGCTCAACATTTGTGAGAACTCCTTCAAGACTGTTGGAAAAGCATTCCAGGTGAAGCTGGTTGAGAGAATGCCAAGAGTGTGCAAATCTGTCATCAAGGCAAAGGGTGGCTACTTTGAAGAATCTCAAATATAAAATATATTTTTGATTTGTTTAACACTTTTTTGGTTACTACATGATTCCATATGTGTTATTTCATAGTTTTGATGTGTTCAATATTATTCTACAATGTAGAAAATAGTAAAAAATAAAGAAAAACCCTTGAATGAGTAGGTGTGTCCAAACTTTTGACTGGTAGTGTATATATATCAGTATTCGTGACACAGAGGCTGTGGAATGTCACATTACCTGAGTGAGGGATGAGGGGGTCATGTGGGAGTCGGCCAGGGTCGGCTGTAGAAGCTCTAAAAAGTGCTGCCATACAGAGGGCTGATGCTACGTAGTAACCTAGGAGCAGAGATACAGGATGACTATAGCAGTCAAAGTCATTGATGAAGCAGACATAACTAAACACCTGTTCTGTGGGATTAATACGCACTGACAACCAAGGCCCAGGGGATATGCCCCTCATAGAAATGGGGCAGTAGCACCAACTTGGGAACGAAGAAGGAGTTGTAGAGCCAGATGGCGAACACCATACTGATGCAGAACCAGCCCATGGGGTCCACCACAAAGTGCAGCCGAAGCTTCATGGCTCCTGTGACTTTGGGACACCGAGGGACGATGTGTCATAACCTCCCTGGAGAAAAAGATAGCTAAATTACAGCATATGATCAGAGTTAATCAACAGGTTAGGTCGCACCTGTTAAGGCTGTACTCGATAACAATTGAGCTTAGTCAATTTTATCTCTCTTTCTCATACACTTCTTCTGACTCTTTTCTGAGGTGTGTCCTTGAGTCATGAAGGATAGCGTACACCCCCCACCCATAACACGTCTCATTAGATACACACACCCACAACTGCACAATAAGTTAAACATTCTGACACTTTAGAAGCCAGCTCCATATTTGCCGAAAGTAGATCATGTCAAGCAGACAGGTAGATTCTAGAATGTAGACACATTAAACATATTGGGTTATCTACTGTACCTTGCTAGCTAGCTATTCTGACAGGTAGCTAACGCGTTAGCTAGCTAACTAGCTGGGCTTGGTCTTCCTAAATTGAGCTTGATTTGTAAATAACTAGACCTGGTGATAACTAGTTAGCATAGCAGTAACCATTCAAAATGTAGCTTTCACATTACTTTAGTTACTCCACCTACCTATCAAGCTGGGGATATGTATTGCTAAACTTCAGAGGGATACCCACTTATTATCGCTCTTTTTCCATGAGCACACCACCGGTTCAGTTCTTCCGTGGAGGAGAAGCAACACTGTAATGAATGAAATGCCGTCAGAAATATGAGTTCTGCTGCCACCTACTGGACCTGCGTTTGAACTCTTTTTGTAGATGTATTTTTTGCCAGCCCCCAAAAAAATATTCTGGCAGTGTTATTTGTATTCGTAAAAATTATATTCAAACGTCAAAAGCAGAAAAAAAATATTATTTCAAAAACTAAATATAATTGACCCATCATGCAATCTGAGGTCAAGGTTCGTTTTGCCTTGCTGCTTCCGCCTTACTTACTGGCCGATTTCTTGTTGACAAGAAACGCCACTTCTCAGCTCAGAAATTACTGTTAAAACATTGTGATATTGGGGATAAAATGGCATCACCTAACTCATATAAGCTAAGTTGCTCTATACCTGGCCATGAAATGGATGTTAGAGGTCTTTCAGCTGCTTTTTTCCCTGACGGAGCCTTTGTGTCTGTTTCCAGAGACCGAACCGGACGAGTCTGGGTACCAAACTCAAGGTACCGCCAGCTAACATAGCTCAAAATACAATAATGTGGTTCTCACCATTTTAATATCGTTAAGATAATCAGTTAGGAACCCTTAGCCACACACATCGATGCCCCTCTCAATTCACCATAAGCATTATTTAAAGGCAACCCAACAAGTCTCTGCTATTGCAACGATGCTAGCTAGCAAAATTAGCGTTGTCATTCTCTCAGCTGAGCAACCAAGTATTATTATGCGATGTTTTTTCACTTCGGATAGTCCCCGATTCATAACATTGATGTCACACCAACTGTACGTGACACAAGGTTTCTAAACCTTGAAGGACGAGATTTCTCTCTAGACCTCATGGCTATTGTTAGCTACCTAATTAGCTAACGTTATTAACGTTCCCCTTATAGCTAGCTAGCTACGCTTTTCTAGAGCTAGCTAATCACTGGAAATAGCCAGAGCCTGTTCAGAATTTGACACCGCCTAGGTCTGCGTTTTAAATGGAATAGAATTTGACTTTATATTATATATGTTTTGTGTCTCTCTTCTCTTACAGCCCAGACAGGGGGTTCACAGAAATGCATTGCATGACAGGTCATCAAAATTTTGTATCCTGTGTATGCATCATCGCTCCAAGTGACACATATCCTCGGGGACTTATAGCCACTGGTGGAAATGACCACAACATATGTGTTTTCACACTGGACCAACCACAACCATTGTTCACCCTCAAGGGACACAAAAACACAGGTAGAGTTGATAAACTGTTGATGCGTTATTGTGTAACACCTAATTCAACTTGATTACTTTACTTCAAATACCAACTTGGTCTGATGACGCTTTCGTTGTGAATAACTAGAACCTATCTATGATATGTATGTCCACAGTGTGCACTCTGTCCTCTGGGAAATTTGGAACCCTACTGAGTGGCTCATGGGACACCACAGCAAAAGTCTGGCTCAACGAGAAGTGCATGATGACCTTACAGGTAAAGTGTCTGAGACTTGTCTAGTTTTGAACTGGGTCATGTTTGCAATATAAAATGAAAATCTGTGTTCTTATTGGATACGTTTTGCAACATTTTCTCCCTACTGAACACAACCCAGGTGAGTGAATTATTTTGTATTCCAGGGGCACACAGCAGCAGTGTGGGCAGTGGTCATATTACCTGAACAAGGCCTCATGCTGTCAGGATCAGCTGACAAGACCATCAAGCTGTGGAAGGCTGGACAGTGTGAGAAGACGTTTACAGGTGAGAAATGAATGCACCCACAAACCACCGTGCCCTCCATAAATATTGTGGCGGTTCTGGGGCCAGACATCACTGAATGTGTTTGTCTGTCCCAGGTCACGAGGACTGTGTCAGGGGGCTAGCGGTGGTCAGCGACCTGGAGTTCTTCTCCTGCAGCAACGACACCAGCATCAGGAGATGGCTGGTGACTGGGGAATGTGTGCAGGTATACTACAGCCACACCAACTACATCTACAGCCTGGCCGTCTTCCCCAATGGACAAGGTACAGTATGGATGACGGATCCCTGACAATCTACCTGTGCCCTGTTTGTGGAACCACTATGCCCTAGGAAAGTGTGACAGTCTGTTTGTGCTTAATAGTAGAAAAGATAACTCCTTCACACACGACATTGCCTCTGCACATTTATTTTGTTGAAATTTTTTCAAGACAATCTGTTGGTGCTCTCCTCCCCGCTCAGATTTCGTGAGCACAGGAGAGGACCGGACCTTGAGGATATGGAAGCAGGGCGAGTGCCAACAGACCATCCGTCTCCCAGCCCAGTCAGTGTGGTGCTGCTGTATCCTGCCCAACGGGGATATAGCTGTGGGAGCCAGGTAAACCCCAAGCCCCACTGTCAATCCACTGTCCAACCATTTCTATCTCAATGGACATGAGACATAGCAGTATTATACATGAAAACAACTGCATCACCTCTATCAGAGATATATATATATATATATATATATATATATATATATATATATATACATATATACATAATACATACATACATACATACATACATACATACATACATACATACGTATATGTATGTGTGTATACAGTACCAGTCAAAAGTTTGGACACACCTACTCATTCAAGGGTTTTTCTTTATTTTTTAAACTATTTTCTACATTGTAGAATAATAGTGAAGACATCAAAACTATGAAAAAACACATATGGAATCATGTAGTAACCAAAAAAGTGTTAAACAAATCAAAATATATTTTATATTTGAGATTCTTCAAAGTAGCCACCCTTTGCCTTGATGACAGATTTGCACCATCTTGGCATTCTCTCAACCAGCTTCACCTGGAATGCTTTTCCAACAGCCTTGAAGGAGTTTCCACATATGCTGAACACTTGTTGGCTGCTTTTCCTTCACTCTGCCGTCCGACTCATCCCAAACCATCTCAATTGGGTTGAGGTCGGGGGATTGTGGAGGCCAGGTCGTCTGATGCAGCACTCCATCACTCTCCTTCTTGGTAAAATTGCCCTTACACAGCCAAGAGGTGTGTTGGGTCATTGTCCTGTTGAAAAACAAATGATGGTCCCACTAAGCCCAAACCAGATGGGATGGCGTATCGCTGCAGAATGCTGTGGTAGCCATGCTGGTTAGGTGTGCCTTTTAATTCTAAATAAATCACAGACAGTGTCACCAGCAAAGCACCCCCACACCATAACACCTCCTCCTCCATGCTTTACGGTGGGAACTACACATGCAGAGATCATCCGTTCACCGACACCGCATCTCACAATGACACGGCGGTTGGAACCAAAAATCTCCAATTTGGACTCCAGACCAAAGGACACATTTCCACCGGTCTAATGTCCATTGCACTTGTTTCTTGGCCCAAGCAGGTCTCTTCTTCTTATTGGTGTCCTTTAGTAGTGGTTTCTTTGCAGCAATTCGACCATGAAGGCCTGATTCACACAGTCTCCTCTGAACAGTTGATGTTGAAATTTGTCTGTGACTTGAAATCTGTGAAGCATTTATTTGGGCTGCAATTTCTGAGGCTGATAACTAATTAACTTAATCCTCTGCAGCAGAGGTAACTCTGGGTCTTCCATTCCTGTGGCGGTCCTCATTAGAGCCAGTTTCATCATAACGCTTGATTGTTTTTGCGACTGCACTTGAAGAAACTTTCAAAGTTCTTGAAATGTTCCGTATTGACTGACCTTCATGTCTTAAAGTAATGATGGACTGTTGTTTCTCTTTGCTTATTTGAGCTGTTCTTGCCATAATATGGACTTGATCTATGACCAAATAGGGCTATCTTCTGTATACCAACCCTACCTTGTCACAACACAACTGATTGGCTCAAATACATTAAGAAGAAAATAAATCCCACAAAATAACTTTTAACAAGGCACACCTGTTAATTGAAATGCATTCCTGGTGACTACCTCATGAAGCTGGTTGAGAGAATGCCAAGGGTGTGCAAAGCTGCCATCAAGAGAAAGGGTGGCTATTTGAAGAATCTCAAATATAAAATATATTTTGATTTATTTAACACTTTTTTGGTTACGATATGATTCCATATGTGTTATTTCATAGTTTTGATGTCTTCACTATTATTCTACAATGTAGAAAATAGTACAAATGAAGAAAAACCCTGGAATGAGTAGGTGTGTCCAAACTTTTGACTGGTACTGTATACACACATACATATACGTGTATATACAGTGCATTTGGAAAGTATTCAGACCTCTTGACTTTTTCCACATTTTGTTACGTTACAGCCTTATTATAAATGGATTAAATAAAACGTTTTCCTCATCAAGTTACACACAATACCCCATAATGACAAAGCGAAAACAGGTTTTTAGAAATACCTTATTTACATAAGTATTCAGACCCTTTGCTATGATACTCAGAACTGAGCTCTGTTGCATCCTGTTTCCATTGATCATCCTTGAGATGTTTCTATAACTTGATTGGAGTCCACCTGTGGTAAATTCAATTGATTGTACATGATTTGGAAAGGCACACACCTGTCTATATAAGGTCCCACAGTTGACAGTGCATGTCAGAGCAAAAACCAAGCCATGAGGTCGAAGGAATTGTCCGTAGAGCTCCGAGACAGGATTGTGTCGAGGCACAGATCTGGGGAAGGGTACCAACACATTTCTGCAGCATTGAAGGTCACCACGAACACAGTAGCCTCCATCATTCTTAAATGGAAGAAGTTTGGAACCACCAAGACTTTTCCTAGAGCTGGCCGCCCGGTCAAACTGAGCAATCGGGAGAAGGGCCTTGGTCAGGGAGGTGACCAAGAACCCGATGGTCACTCTGACAGAGCTCCAGAGTTCCTCTGTGGAGATGGGAGAACCTTCCAGAAGGACAACCATCTCTTCAGCACTCCACCAAACAGGCCTTAATGGTAGAGTGGCCAGACGGAAGCCACTCCTCAGTAAAAGGCACATAAAGAACTCTCAGAAACAAGATTCTCTGGTCTGATGAAACCAAGATTGAACTCTTTGGCCTGAATGCCAAGCGTCACTTCTGGAGGAAACCTGGCACTATCCCACAGTGAAGCATGGTGGTGGCAGCATCATGTTGTGGGGATGTTCGGCGGCAGGGACTGGGAGAGACTAGTCAGAATCGAGGGAAAGATGAGCGGTGCAAAGTACGGAGAGATCCTTGATGAAAACCTGCTCAGGACCTCAGACTGGGGCGAAGGTTCACCTTCCAACAGGACAACGACCCTAAGCACACAGCCAAGAGAACGCAGGAGTGGCTTCGGCACAAGTCTCTGAATGTCCTTGAGTGGCCTAGCCAGAGCCCGGACTTGAACCCGATCGAACATCGCTGGAGAGACCTGAAAATAGCTGTGCAGCAATGCTCCCCATCCAACCTGACAGAGCTTGAGTGGATCTGCAGAGAAGAATGGGAGAAACTCCCTAAATACAGGTGTGCCAAGCTTGTAGTGTTATACCCAAGAAGACTCGAGGCTGTAAACGCTGCCAAAGGTGCTTCAACAAAGTACTGAGTAAAGGATCTGACTACTTATGTAAAAGTGATGTTTCTGTTTTTATTTATTTATATAAATTAGCCAACATTTCTAAACTTGGTTTTGCTTTGTCATTATGGGGTATTGTGTGTAGATTGATGAGGGAAAAAAACAATTTAATCAATTTTAGAATAAGGCTGTAACGTAACTGTGGAAAAGGTCAAGGGGTTTGAATTCTTTCTGAATGCCCTGTATATTATTATGAATTGGTCAGTGAGTAGTTCAAAGTAAATTAAGATAAACAATTAGATGGAAAGAGTGAGGAGAGAGCAATGTTGCTGCTATTACCTTGCTTTTGTGTCACCGATTTGTTATTCTCCTCACAGTGACGGCCTCATCAGAGTGTTCACTGAGGTGGAAGACCGCATGGCCAGCCCTCAGGACCTCCAGGCTTTTGAGGATGAGCTCTCCAAGACCACCATCGACCCCAAGACCGGGGACCTGGGGGACATCAAGATGGAGGATCTTCCAGGAAGGGAGCACCTTGATGAGCCTGGTAATTATATTCCGTACATATTCCATTATATTAATCCATTTTATTCCACTATATATGTATTGATATCTATATATTCAATTAATAGAAAAACGATTAGGACATTATATGCCCAACATCACTGTTTAGCTGTTATTGCTTTTTGCATCTACCGCCCCTGGTCACTGACATCTTTCATGAATGATAAACGTATTTTACCAATCACCAATCTTTAGTAGAACCTGAAACTATAATCCACAGATACACATGAAAAGTGGAGTAATCCAGAAACCCCCCTTGTTGTATTGGAGTGTATAAAGTATGTCTGTGTGTCTGTCTCCCAGGGAATCGGGACGGACAGACGCGGCTGATCAAAGAGGGCCAGAAGGTGGAGGCGTACCAGTGGAGTGTGGCCGACAGCCGCTGGATGAAGATAGGAGATGTGGTGGGAGGGTCCAACCAGCAGACCTCCAAGAAAGTCAACTATGAGGGGAAGGTGAGGTGCACCTAGGGCTGTGGCGGTCACGCAATTTCATCAGCCGGTGATTGTCAAGCAAATAACTGTCGGTCATAACATAAACACATAACATTAACATAAACACATTTAGCATCTCCTGGCTTCCCCACTGATGCAGACCTTTGGAACATCTACATTTTAAAAAGTGTAATGTGTTTATGTTGTTGTAAATCCATGTAATATAGCCTACACCTTCACAATAAATCCATTATTTATTTTAGACAGGTCTAAAGAAGCATGATATAAAGAAAATGTAGTCTATTTCAAAAGAACAGAATAGCATACTCTGAGTTGTCTTTGTTAGGTCCTGATCTGGCTATGACAAATGGCTGTGGGATACACTAGTTCATTTAGCAGACAAGATTTGCTTAGAATTCCATGGCATTATTTTATATTATTTTATAGTATGAAGAATACAATTGAACAAAGCTGAATAAAATAGAAAGGATATTTTCTCCAAACGATTTTAGGGAGTGCGCACATGCGGCTATTCTGTGTTGAGTGGTTAACAAAGAAATAGGTACTCCTATATGCTTAATTTAGAGTTATTCATGTAACTTTAGTTGTTCTACAAATGTTGGGCTATATGTTTTGATTGTTAATACATTGTAAGGATGCATGATGCGACTCTAATGATGATTTGAAAAAAGTTGCTTGAAAGGTGTGAGCTCTGCTTTGTTTTTTGCGCAGGCTGTACACACTTCATCAGTCTCTCATTCACAATTTGACAAGCACTTGATAATGCCTCAAATTTCACAGCGGCATCCCCTTCGTGTGGCCGTAATGCACCCTAAAAAAATCCTGCGCTTTTTGCAGCCAGGGCGTTGTGCCCTTCTCCCTGAGTGCTGCTTGTTCCGAAGCACCTCTCACTCACATGGCTCTCCATCACATGATCGGGTCTTTCTCACAGGCTACAAGTGAAGACCGACACATCGGGAAGCAACTGCTCGCGTCCTTATCCAATTCCGAGGTGCATATTGAAGATATTGGAAGAACTGTCCACATTTACTTTTCGTCAGCCAACAAGATGAATAGGACTAACGAACAGCAAAGCCTATGCACTAGCCTATGTCAATCTACTATCCCCAATAGAACAAAAGTTGACCTATTCTGTGCGATAATTCAATATTCCAAACAAAGTCTGGGACAGTTGTGGGATGCCATAGAACCCAAATTAATACAACCAATAGCATCAAAAAACCTTTTTTACGCAATGTGGCTGACTCAACAGATCAGAACGTTTAGCTTTAAATGTTGATAAACTATTAGGCTATTTCTTCACATAAGCTCAGCAATGCGCACATGGCAGTAGGCTATAAGCGCGAATGTTCCATTAGCGGGAAAACAACATAATTATCAAAAGTGACCGCAAATGCGATTATGCATGTAATACTTTTATGGTGAAAATGATCTTTCCCAAACTTGAAACTCATGCGCTGCTTATATAATGCCAGTTAGGCTCTAAACCCCTTGTAAAGCGGATAAATGTGCTTCACTTTAAGAAGTTATTTGGTCACTTTTGTTGTGATTCAAACCTTATCAAAACATATAGGCCTATGGGCTAGGCTACATGAGGTGTGCGACTATGATTCAAAAAAGTCGCAAAAAAATAGCATTGTTTCTTGCCTTATGCTGGGCATGATTCACAAGTGATAGGCGAATATTGTCACCCATCAGACTATTCTTGATGTAATCTGATCTTTACATATATTATTTAGTATATGTGTGAAATTTGTTTTGATTTAGAATGTACCTTTATCATGCACCTGTCTCAAAACAGGGGCAGGTGAAAAAATACATGTCATCTATACACTTAAATAGCGAATGGAGGACGCTTTTCCCGTGGTTCATTTTCATGCCTGCCAGGTAGGCTATACTCCTGTTGTAAAGAGAAGCAATGTGCTTAGTATTAGGAAAGTTGAGAAATAAATATAGTAGGCCTGGCCTATAGAAAGCTGATGGGAACCTCCTCTTTTTAATAGAGGCCATCACTGTTTTCTCGCGCAATTGCATAGCCTATAGAAATGTTACGCAACATGAGCTCATGGGCTCTCATGAAGAGTTTGATTAGATTTTCGATTACATTTGCGTTGATGTCAGAGTGATTAGAGGGACAATAGAGTGCTGAGTACCAGGCAGTTAGCAAGTTTGGTAGGCTACTAATGACCATCAGCAGCATCAGAGCTTGGAGAAGCCTAATTACAGTGACTAAACGGTCACGTGGAATTTGACTGCCTTCATGACTTGTGACTGCCGGTGTGGCGGTAATACGGTCACCACAACAGCCCTAGGTGCAGCCCAACGTTAGGTCAATGATGATAACAATAGATGGACAGACGGATAGAGATACTTTATTGTCCTCAGAGGAAAATTATGTGATCTACTACAAGACTACTCTGGTGAGTGGAGTCCAGAGTACAGACGCAAGGCAAATGATTCACAACAAGTGCTTTTGATCTTCACTGAGGCGAGCTGTCAGACAGTGAATCACTCAACCCGTCTTCCGAATGATTTTCCAGGAGTACGACTTTGTCTTCACCATTGATATCAACGAGGGCGGCCCGTCCATGAAGCTGCCCTACAATGTGACGGATGACCCCTGGCTGACGGCTCACAACTTCCTGCAGAAGAACGAGCTCAGCCCCATGTTCCTGGACCAGGTGGCCAACTTCATCATCGAGAACACCAAAGGACACACCTTGGGAGCCGCCCCGCCCAGCGCTGCCGACCCATTCACTGGTAAAGCCACTGGATCAACGAGCGCCATAGACTACACTTAGGGCAATGTTTTCTTCTGAAGAAGACGGGTAGTGGGCCAAGTTCCCATAATGTTTGAAATAGACCAGCCCAGTAGTATCAATCCATCCACTGCTGAAGCCACTGAGCCATATTCACTCTATAAGCTACACCTGGGGCAGCATATTTCTCTTCTAAGGGCAATTCCACTGTAACAGAGTTATTGAGTTTTCACTTTAAAATGTATGTCAAACAAAAACCAGTGATTTCAAAGTTAAACAAACCACACAAGTCTTTGCACAAGGACGACGTTCTAAAAATGTTAACTGAAAATGTAACAAAAAACGTATTGACTTGAAGAACAGTGCAGATGCAAAGTTTGGAAACAGAATGACGGCACCAGCAGCACAAACCGTCATTCCGTCATCTGCACTCATCTTCACGTAAATGTGTTTTTGTAAATTGTTCTGTGGAAATTGTTAAAAGTCATCCTTGTGCAAAGAGTTGTATGGTTTGTTTAAATTTGCAATCATTGTTTTTTTGTTTGACAAAGTGACAAATCGGAGTCTAAGCATCACTCTGTTACAGTGGAATTGCCCCTAACAAACATTGTGCAACATTACCGTAAACATTTGGAATAGACGGGATCACAGCAAATAAATACAAAATGTGTTTGGAATACCAGACTAACTGTATATTTACCCTGCTTTTGTCACGTTCACCATCAGGCTCAGGCCGATACATCCCTGTAGCTACTGACAATAGAGCAGGTTTTGGGGCTGACCCCTTCACAGGTAAATAAAAACAAATATCCTTTTCTTTTAGATTTCAGTTTGTTGAGAGCATGCTTTTCTAATGCATTATATGGCATTTTCATTCTATGACTATGCTAATACATTATTACGGCGCTTTCCCCAGGCACTGGGCGGTACATCCCAGGATCGGGCACTCCCACAGGGGCACCAGTGGGCGTGGCAGACCCCTTCACAGGTAACAGTCACTATAGCAACTCCTTCAATGTCTAGGGTTCAATCAAATGTTGCATTGACATGCAACCCTGTTTTTTATTTTATTTTCACACATAGAAAAAGACAACCCAATAACACTGCTAAAGCAAATGAAATCTAGTCCCTAGTATTGTTTAGTTGAGGTGTAACATTCGCTTGTCCTTTTCTCTTCCCAGGTGGGGGTGCATACTCCTCAGCTGCCTCGAGGCAGACCTCCACCAACATCTACTTCCCCAAAACAGACGGGGTAACCTTCGAGCAGGCCAACGCCACACAGATAATGGGTAAGTAAGCACTAAACAAAACATCCCTTGATATTCTATTCCATATTTTCATACTAGCAGAATAATCATGGTCTATATATTCAGTGTACAAGACTTATCAACCAGCACTGTGGCTGAACTGAAATAATGTGGATAGCAATATCAAAACCTCACTACAGTAAATAAATACCGGATATTAAAGTGTCCTAACATACTACATTTACATTTTACATTTTAGTCATTTAGCAGACGCTCTTAACCAGAGCGACTTACAGGAGCAATTAGGGTTAAGTGCCTTGCTCAAGGGCACATTAACGTCATTTAGCAGACGCTCTTAGCCAGAGCGACTCACAAATTGGTGCGTTCACCCTATAGCCAGTGGGATAACCACTTTACAATTTGGGGGGGGGGTTAGAAGGAATACTTTAGCCTATCCCAGGTATTCCTTAAAGAGGTGAGGTTTCAAATGTCTCCGGAAGGTGGTGAGTGACTCCGCTGTCCTGGCGTCGTGAGGGAGCTTGTTCCACCATTGGGGTGCCAGAGCAGCGAACAGTTTTGACTGGGCTGAGCGGGAGCTGTGCTTCCGCAGAGGAAGGGGAGCCAGCAGGCCAGAGGTGGATGAACGCAATGTCCTCGTTTGGGTGTAGGGACTGATCAGAGCCTGAAGGTACAGGGGTGCCGTTCCCCTCACTGCTCCAAAGGCAAGCACCATGGTCTTGTAGCGGATGCGAGCTTCAATTGGAAGCCAGTGGAGTGTGCGGAGGAGGGGGGTGACGTGAGAGAACTTGGGAAGGTTGAACACCAGACGGGCTGCGGCATTCTGGATGAGTTGTAGGGGTTTAATGGCACAGGCAGGGAGCCCAGCCAACAGCGAGTTGCAGTAGTCCAGACGGGAGATGACAAGTGCCTGGACCAGGACCTGCGCCGCTTCCTGTGTAAGGCAGGGTCGCACTCTCCGAATGTTGTAGAGCATGAACCTGCAGGAGCGGGTCACCGCCTTGATGTTGGCGGAGAACGACAGGGTGTTGTCCAGGGTCACGCCTAGGCTCTTCGCACTCTGGGAGGAGGACACAGCGGAGTTGTCTACCGTGATGGCGAGATCATGGAACGGGCAGTCCTTCCCCGGGAGGAAGAGCAGCTCCGTCTTGCCAGGGTTCAGCTTGAGGTGGTGATCCGTCATCCATACTGATATGTCTGCCAGACATGCAGAGATGCGATTCGCCACCTGGTTATCAGAAGGGGGAAAGGAGAAGATTAGTTGTGTATCGTCAGCGTAGCAATGATAGGAAAGGCCATGTGAGGATATGACAGAGCCAAGTGACTTGGTGTATAGGGAGAAAAGGAGAGGGCCCAAAACCGATCCCTGGGGGACACCAGTGGTGAGAGCACGTGGTGCGGAGACAGCTTCCCGCCACGCCACTTGGTAGGAGCGACCGGTCAGGTAGGACGCAATCCAGGAGTGAGCCGCGCCGGAGATGCCCATTTCGGAGAGGGTGGAGAGGAGGATCTGATGGTTCACAGTATCAAAGGCAGCAGACAGGTCTAGAAGGACAAGAGCAGAGGAGAGAGAGTTAGCTTTAGCAGTGCGGAGAGTCTCTGTGACACAGAGAAGAGCAGTCTCAGTTGAATGACCAGTCCTGAAACCTGATTGGTTTGGATCAAGAAGGTCATTCTGAGAGAGATAGCAAGAGAGTTGGCTAAAGACGGCACGCTCAATAGTTTTGGAAAGAAAAGAAAGAAGGGATACTGGTCTGTAGTTGTTGACATCAGTGGGGTCGAGTGTTGGTTTTTTGAGAAGGGGAGTAACTCTCGCTCTCTTGAAGACGGAAGGGACATGGCCAGCGGTCAAGGATGAGTTGATCAGCGAGGTGAGGTAGGGGAGAAGGTCACCGGAGATGGTCTGGAGAAGGGAGGAGGGGATGGGGTCAAGCGGGCAGGTTGTTGGGCGGCCTGCAGTCACAAGTCGCAGGATCTTATCTGGAGAGAGAGGGGAGAAAGAAGTCAAAGCATAGGGTAGGGCAGTGTGAGCAGGACCAGCAGTGTCATTAGACTTAACAAACAAGGATCGGATGTCGTCAACCTTCTTTTCAAAGTGGTTGACGAAGTCATCCACAGAGAGAGAGGAGGGGGGGGGGGGGGGGGGGGGGGAGGGAGGAAAATGTGGCAAAGAGCTTCCTAGGGTTAGAGGCAGATGCTTGGAATTTAGAGTGGTAGAAGGTGGCCTTAGCAGCAGAAACAGATGAAGAAAATGTAGAGAGGAGGGAGTGAAAAGATGCCAGGTCGGCAGGGAATTTAGTTTTCTTCCATTTCCGCTCCGCTGCCCGGAGCTCTGTTCTGTGAGCTCGCAATGAGTCATCAAGCCACGGAGCTGGAGGGGAGGACCGAGCCGGCCGGGAGGATAGGGGACACAGAGAGTCAAAGGATGCAGAAAGGGAGGAGAGGAGGGTTGAGGAGGCAGAATCAGGAGATTGGAGGGAGAAGGATTGAGCAGAGGGAAGAGATGATAGGATGGAAGAGGAGAGAGTAGTGGGAGAGAGAGAGCGAAGGTTGCGGCGGCGCATTACCATCTGTGTAGGGGCAGAGTGAGTAGTGTGGGAGGAGAGTGAGAGAGAAAAGGAAACAAAGTAGTGGTCGGAGACTTGGAGGGGAGTTGCAGTGAGATTAGTAGAGGAGCAGCATCTAGTGAAGATGAGGTCAAGCGTATTGCCTGCCTTGTGAGTAGGGGGGGACGGTGAGAGGGTGAGGTCAAAAGAGGAGAGGAGTGGAAAGAAGGAGGCAGAGAGAAATGAGTCAAATGTGGACATAGGGAGGTTGAAATCCCCCAAAACTGTGAGGGGTGAGCCATCCTCAGGGAAGGAACTTATCAAGGCGTCAAGCTCATTGATGAACTCTCCAAGGGAACCTGGAGGGCGATAGATGACAAGGATATTAAGCTTAAATGGGCTAGTGACTGTGACAGCATGGAATTCAAATGAGGAGATAGACAGATGGGTTAGGGGAAAAATTGAGAATGTCCACTTGGGAGAGATGAGGATTCCTGTACCACCACCCCTCTGACCAGATGCTCTCGGGGTATGCGAGAACACATGGTCAGACGAGGAGAGAGCAGTAGGAGTAGCGGTGTTTTCAGTGGTGACCAATGTTTCCGTCAGCGCCAGGAAGTCGAGGGACTGGAGGTTGGCATAGGCTGGGATGAAGTCAGCTTTGTTGGCAAGACAATACTCAATTGCCAGTTGGGATGCATAGGCTGGGATGAAGTCAGCTTTGTTGGCAAGACAATACTCAATTGCCTCTCTATATTAACGTTGCCCTTTTCCCTTCCACCACCAGCCAAGCTGAGGGAGCTGAACAGTGGGGCCCCTGGGGAATACAGGCTGTCTGAGGAGGTGCTGGGGAGCCTGGAGAAGCTGCTGGTATCTGTATGTGACCCCCATGCCTCAGAGCAGCCCACCACCGAGCAGATCAGCCTTCTCTGGAAGACGTCTCACTGGCCAGAAGGTAGACTAACACACATCATGGGTTTTGTACACTGCTCAAAAAAATAAAGGGAACACTTAAACAACACAATGTAACTCCAAGTCAATCACACTTCTGTGAAATCAAACTGTCCACTTAGGAAGCAACACTGATTGACAATACATTTCACATGCTGTTGTGCAATTGGAATAGACAACAGGTGGAAATTATAGGCAATTAGCAAGACACCCCCAATAAAGAAGTGGTTTTGCAGGTGGTGACCACAGACCACTTCTCAGTTCCTGGCTGATGTTTTGGTCACTTTTGAATGCTGGCGGTGCTTTCACTCTAGTGGTAGCATGAGACTGAGTCTACAACCCACACAAGTGGCTCAGGTAGTGCAGCTCATCCAGGATGGCACATCAATGTGAGCTGTGGCAAGAAGGTTTGCTGTGTCTGTCAGCGTTGTGTCCAGAGCATGGAGGCGCTACCAGGAGACAGGCCAGTACATCAGGAGACGTGGAGGAGGCCGTAGGAGGGCAACAACCCAGCAGCAGGACCGCTACCTCCGCCTTTGTGCAAGGAGGAGCAGGAGGAGCACTGCCAGAGCCCTGCAAAATGACCTCCAGCAGGCCACAAATGTGCATGTGTCTGCTCAAACGGTCAGAAACAGACTCCATGAGGGTGGTATGAGGGCCCGACGTCCACAGGTGGGGGTTGTGCTTACAGCCCAACACCGTGCAGGACGTTTGGCATTTGCCAGAGAACACCAAGATTGGCAAATTTGCCACTGGCGCCCTGTGCTCTTCACAGATGAAAGCAGGTTCACACTGAGCACATGTGACAGACGTGACAGAGTCTGGAGACGTCGTGGAGAACGTTCTGCTGCCTGCAACATCCTCCAGCATGACCGGTTTGGCGGTGGGTCAGTCATGGTGTGGGGTGGCATTTCTTTGGGGGGCCGCACAGCCCTCCATGTGCTCGCCAGAGGTAGCCTGACTGCCATTAGGTACTGAGATGAGATCCTCAGACCCCTTGTGAGACCATATGCTGGTGCGGTTGGCCCTGGGTTCCTCCTAATGCAAGACAATGCTAGACCTCATGTGGCTGGAGTGTGTCAGCAGTTCCTGCAAGAGGAAGGCATTGATGCTATGGACTGGCCCGCCCGTTCCCCAGACCTGAATCCAATTGAGCACATCTGGGACATCATGTCTCGCTCCATCCACCAACGCCACGTTGCACCACAGACTGTCCAGGAGTTGGCGGATGCTTTAGTCCAGGTCTGGGAGGAGATCCCTCAGGAGACCATCCGCCACCTCATCAGGAGCATGCCCAGGCGTTGTAGAGAGGTCATACAGGCACGTGGAGGTCACACACACTACTGAGCCTCATTTTGACTTTGTTTTAAGGACATTACATCAAAGTTGGATCAGCCTGTAGTGTGGTTTTCCACTTTAATTTTGAGGGTGACTCCAAATCCAGACCTCCATGGGTTGATACATTTGATTTCCATTGATCATTTGTGTGTGATTTTGTTGTCAGCATATTCAACTATGTAAAGAAAAAAGTATTTAATAAGATTATTTCATTCATTCAGATCTAGGATGTGTTGTTTAAGTGTTCCCTTTATTTTTTTGAGCAGTGTATTTGTATTTATTAAGGATCCCCTGGCAGCAGCCACTCTTCCTGGTTTCCAGCAACATTAAGGCAGTTATATACAATTTAAAATATTACATTATGTAATTACATTACATTTCATAAAACTTTTCACAGCACATTAAGTGTGTGCCCTCAGGCCACTACTCTACTATCACATATCTACAATACAAAATCCATGTGTACGTGTGTGTAGAGTGCGTGTCTTATCGTGTGTCTGTGCCTGTGTGTCTCTTCACAGTCCCTGCTGTTCCATAAGGTGTATGTTTAACTGTTTTTTTTAAAATCTGATTCTACTGCTTGCATCAGTTACCTGATGTGGAATAGAGTTCCATGTAGCCATGGCTGTATGTAGTACTGTGCGCCTCCCATAGTCTGTTCTTGACTTGGGGACTATGAAGAGACCTTTGGTGGCATGTCTTGTGGGGTATGCATGGGTGTCCGAGCTGTGTGCTAGGAGTTTAAACAGACACCTCGGTGCATTCAGCATGTCAACACTTCTTACATAAACAAGTAGTGATGAAGTCAATCTCTCCCCTACTTTGAGCCATGAGAGATTTACATGCATATTATTAATGTTAGCTCTAGGTGTACATTTAAGGGCCTGCCGTGCTACCCTGTTCTGAGCCAATTGTAATTTTCCAAGGTCCCTCTTTGTGGGACCTGACCACACGACTGAACAGTAGTCCAGGTGTGACAAAACTAGAGCCTGTAGGACCTGCCTTGTTGATAGTGTTGTTAAAAAGGCAGAGCAGCGCTTTATTATGGACAGACTTCTCACCATCTTAGCTACTGTTGTATCAACATGTTTTGACCATGACAGTTTACAATCCAGGGTTACTCCAAGCAGTTTAGTCACCTCAACTTGCTCAATTTCCACATCATTTATTACAATATTTAGTTGAGGTTTAGGGTTTAGTGAATGATTTGTCCCAAATACAATGCTTTTAGTTTTGGAAATATTCAGGACTAGCTTATTCCTTGCCAACCATTCCGAAACTAACTGCAGCTCTGTAAGTGTTGCAGTGATTTCACTCGCTGTAGTAGCTGATGTGTAAGTCTCCCGAGTGGCGCAGTGGTCTAAGGCACTGCATCGCAGTGCTAGCTGTGCCACTAGAGATCCTGGTTCGAATCCAGGCTCTGCTGTAGCTGGCCACAACCGGGAGACCAATGGGGCGGCGCACAATTGGCCCAGCGTCGTCCAGGGTAGGGGAGGGAATGGCCGGCAGGGAGGTAGCTCAGTTGGTAGAGCATGGCGTTTGCAACGCCAGGGTTGTGGGTTCGATTCCCATGGGGTATGAAAATAAAAAAGAATAATGTATGCACTAACTGTAAGTCGCTCTGGATAAGAGCGTCTGCTAAATGACTTAAAATGTAAATGTAAAATGTGTATAGCGTTGAGTCATCCACATACATAGACACACTGGCTTTACTCAAGGCCAGTGGCATGTCATTAGTAAAGATTGAAAAAAAGTAAGGGGCCTAGACAGCTGCCCTGGGGAATTCCTGATTCTACCTGGATTATGTTGGAGAGGCTTCCATTAAAGAATACCCTCTGTATTCTGTAAGACAGGTAACTCTTTATCCACAATATAACGGGGTGTAAAGACATAACACACATTTTTCCATCAGCAGACTATGATCGATAATGTCAAAAGCCACGCTGAAGTCTAACAAAACAGCTACCACAATCTTTTTATCATCAATTTCTCTCAGCCAATCATTAGTCATTTGTGTAAGTGCCGTGCTTGTTGAATGTCCTTTCCTATAAGTGTGCTGAAAGTCTGTTGTCAGTTTGTTTACAGTAGAATAGCATTGTATCTGGTCAAACACAATTTTTCCAAAAGTTTGCTAAGGGTTGGTAACAAACTGACTGGTCGGCTATTTGAGCCAGTAAAGGGGGCTTTACTATTCTTGAGTAGCAGAATTACTTTTGCTTCCCTCCAGGCCTGAAGGCTCAAACAGTTTTACTATAGCCTTGGGCAGGACTCAGGTTTATCTCACTAGACTAGAGTTCTGAAAAGCATTTTATTGTTTGACTTCAGTTTCAGTGTTTCAAGAAGAAAAAGCCCTATTGGCCTTTTCAAGCATATGAAACCATTACACATTACAGTATTTCAACAAATGGTGATGTACCATGTAAGCCGACTATAACTTCATTGACCTGTGATCACCTCTTCGCTCTCCTGTCCTCCAGACATCGTCTTCCCTGTCCTGGACATCCTGAGGCTGGCGGTGCGCCACCCACAGGTCAACGAGAGCCTGTGTGGCGGCGACGCGGACGATGGCGTTGCGCTCTGCAACCACCTGCTGAGCCTGATGAAGCCGCAGGCCCGGCCAGCCAATCAAATGCTGGCGCTGCGGACGCTCTGCAACTGCTTCAGTGGCTGGCGTGGCCGGGCCCTCCTATTGGCCCAAAGGGAGGCTGTCCTGTCCCACGCTGCCGACCTGTGCTCCGTGTGCAACAAAAACATTCACATCGCCCTGGCCACTCTCGTCCTCAACTACGCCGGATCCCTCCACGGCCAGCCTGACCTGGAAGCCAAGGCCCAGTGTCTGTCAGTGGCCAGCGCGGCGCTGGAGTCGGTGCAGGACAAGGAGGCGGTGTTCAGGCTCCTAGTGGCCCTGGGAACCACAGTGGCCTCCGACCAGACGGCCCAGGATCTGGCCAAGTCCCTGGGGGTCACGTCACAGATCGCCAAGTACACCTCCGTCACCGACCCGGCCAAGGTTGGCGAGTGCTGCCAGCTGGTTTTAAAAGAACTACAGTGATCTGTAGCCACACAGGTTTCCCCTTTCCCCTTACACTATTACTAATCTCTGTTCAAGTGTTTTATTGATTTCTGACTGGTGGACTGTTGGATTGCATGTGCTGCAATAAAAATATGTACAAATTGAATCTTTCTTTCAGCCTGTCTTGTGTCTTTATTAATGATGAATGGAGTTGGTGAGAAAGTAGAATTTAAATACAAATGGCTGCCTTTACACATGCAGCCCAATCCTGATCTTTTGACCAATCAGATCAGCTCTGAAAAATATCTGATGTGGAAAGATCTGACGTGATTGGCCAGTAGACCAATTAGTGGGAAAAAATATCAGAATTGGGCTGGGATCAGGCTAGGTTATCACCCCATCTGCTACATTACCTGGGTTAGACACATGTGAATTATCAGATTAATACTAAAAGGTCAAGAACAAAACCTTTACCCTTAAAGGAATAGTTCACCCAAACTACAGAACGACACATTAGATTTCTTACCCTGTAAGCAGGCTATGGACAAGGTATGACCAATCCATGCTTTGGTTTAGATTCCAAATGCTAACATTTTAGCTTTTGTGGCACAAATCCCATTCAAGTCATGGGACCAATATTAGCATTTTTTGCGCATCATGTTCAAATCATCCAAGTGACTTTGTTGAGCTTCACAATAAAAAATGCTAATATCGGTCCCATGACTTGAATGGAATATGTGCCACAAATGCTAAAACGTTAGCATTTGGAAACCGTGCCAGGGAAACCAAACCAAAGCATGGATTGCTGTTATTTCTTGTCCATAGACCGCTTACTACAGGGAAAGGAAAGCAATATGTAATTTTGGAATTTGGGTGAACTATCCCTTACATTTTAGAAAGTCATGTAACATCAAGCAAAAGCAAGTTTTCACCTGGCATCGTGATCCAAGACAAAAAAAATCATCAATATCAGATCAGATTGCAGGTGAAAGCATGCAATGAACGTCAACTCTGCGACAATGAAGTTAGTGGCATGTTGTCCCCAGTGCCACCCTCTCTGTGGTGAACTTATTTACCCAGCACCTTAGTTCCTCATGGTAAATACTATAACTGTAAACAGTGGAATCTCTCAAATATGGTGCTGCATTGGGAAAGCAGCTGTCGTACGGGCTCATAACCAATTCTGCTATGTTTTTTTTACGCTGATCTTAACTGTTTTTGTGCATAATGTTCCCCCCGTCATTTCCTATGACCGAAAACAGCTTCTGGACATCAGAACAGCGATCACTAACCTCTATTTGGACGAAAATGTCTACTTCAACAAGTTCTGCTTACTCTGGACCAGGCCCTAATCCCCGAGAATCGAAAGAGGAAGCGGCGGGGAAAGAGAGTAAGGCGAGCCGGCACCCTGACGAGACTACGTCGACGAGCAAATAGACCGCCATTGCCGTCTGTTCTATTGGTGAATGTGCAATCACTGGAGAACAAACTGGATGAGTGCCGTTCAAGACTATCCTATCAAAGGGACCTGAGAAACTGTAATATCCTATGTTTTTCCAGAGTCGTGGCTGAACGAGGACATGGATATGCATCTCACTGGTTTTTCTATGCATCGTCAAGACTGGACAGCAGACTCGGACGAAGGAAGGAGGGGTGTGTCTCTTTGTTAACAATAGCTGTGCGCGATCTATAATGTTAAGGAAGTCTGGAGTTTTTGCTCGCCTGAATTACATTACCTAATGATAAGCTGCAGACCATACGATTTACCAAAAGTGTATCTATATTTTTCATAGCTGTCTATTTACCTCCACAAACCGATGCTGCCACTAAGACCAAACTCAACGAGCTGTATAGGGCCATAAGCAAACAAGAAAATGCTGATTAAGGCAGCGTTTCTCGTGACCGGTGATTTTAATGCAGGGAAACTGAAATCCGTTTACCACATTTTTTCCAGGATATCACCTGTGCAACTAGAGGCGACAAAACACTACCTCACCTTTACTCCACAAACAGAAACACATACAAGGCTCTCCCTGGCCCTCCCTTTGTCAAATCAGACCGTAACTCTATCCTCCTGCTTCCAAGCAAAACATTTAACAGGAGGTACCAGTGAAGCGCTCACTACGGAAGTGGTCCGATGAAGCAGATGTTAAGTTACAGGACTGTTTCTCTATCACAGATTGGTATATGCAACATGCTCACTGAGCTAGAGGCTAGAGCTGCCGCTTTCAAGGAGTGGGACACTAATTCGGCCTCTTATAAGAAATCCCGCTATGACCTCCGAAGAGCCATCAAACAGGCAAAGAGTCAAAACAGGACTAAGATCTCATTCCTACCGGCTCTGATGCTCGACAGATGTGGCAGGGCTTGCAAACTATCACGTATTACAGAGGGAAACTGAGCTGCCCAGCGACACAAGCCTACCAGATGAGCTAAATATCTTCTATGATCGCTTCGAGGCAAGCAACACTGAACCATGCATGGGAGTACCAGCTGTTCCGGACGACTGTGTGATCTCACTCTCCGTAGCCAATGTGAGTAAGATCTTTAAACAGGCTAACATTCGCAAGGCCGCGGGGCCAGAAGGATTACCAGGATGCGTACTTAGAGCATTCGCAGACCAGCTGGCAAGTGCCTTCACTGACATTTTCAACCTATCCCTGCCCGGTCTGTAATATCAACTTGTTTTAAGCAGACCACCATAGTCCCCATGCCCAAGAACGCCAAGGTAACCTGCCTAAATGACTATCGCCCTGTAGCACTCACAAATATAGACATGAAATGTTTTAAAAGTCTGGTAATGGCTCACATCAACACCATCATTCTAGACACCCTGGACCCACTCATTTCGCATACTGCCCCAACAGATCCACAGATGATGCAATCTCTATTGCACTCTACACTGCCCTCACCCACCTGGACAAAATTAATACCTATGTAAGAATGCTTTTCATTGACTACAGCTCAGCATTCATCACCAAGCTCAGGACCCTGGGACTGAACACCTCCCTCTGCAACTGGATCCTGGACTTCCTGACAGGCCGCCCCCCAGGCGGTGAGGGTAGGTAACAACACATCCGCCACGCTGACCATCAACACAGGACCCCTCAGGGGTGTGTGCTTAGTCCTCTCCTGTACTCCCTGTTCACCCACGACTATGTAGCCGCATACGACTCCAACACCATCATCAAGTTTGCTGATGACACGACGGTGGTAGGAATGATCACCGACAACGATGAGGCAGCCTATAGGGAGGAGGTCAGAGACCTGGTAGTGTGGTGCCAGGACAACAACCTCTCCTTCAACATCAGCAAGACAAAGGAGCTGATCGTGGACTATGTGAAACAGAGGGGTGAGCAGGCTCCCATTCACATCGATGGGGATGTAGTGGAGCGGGTCAAGAGCTTCAAGTTCCTCAGTGTCTACATCACTAAGGAACTAACATGGTCCACACACACCCACACAGTTGTGAAGAGGGGGCACGACAGCACCTCTTCCTCCTCAGGAGGCTGAAAAGATTTGGCATGGGCCCTCAGATTCTGAAAGAGTTCTACAGCTGCACCATTGAAAGCATCTTGACTAGCTGCATCACCGCTTGGTACAGCAACTGCAAAGCACCCGACCGCCAGACACTACAGGTGGTGGTAAGTACGGCCCAGTACATCACTGGGGCCGAGCTCCCTGCCATCCAGGACCTCTATACCAGACGGTGTCAGAGGAAGGCCCAGGAAATTGTCAAAGACTCCAGCCACCCAAGCCATTGACTGTTCTCTCTGCTACCGCAAGGCAAGCAGTACCAGTGCACCAAGTCTGGAACAAACAAGACCCTGAACAGCTTCTACCCCCAAGCCATAAGACTGCTAAGCAAGACTGCTAAATATCAAATCAAATGGCTACCTGGACTACCTGCATTGACCCTTTTTTAAACTAACTTTCTTACACTGACTCTATGCACACACACTGGACCCTACCCACACACACATACTTACCCTGGCACCCCAACATACACATACACACACAAAGGTAGGTCCAGATAGATAGATCCGACCAGATAGGAAGGTTCTGCCGGTCGGCCGGCTAGATAGGTAGATCCGGTAGGCCGACCGGCCAGACAGGTAGGTAGGTTCTGCCAGTCGGCCGGCTAGATAGGTAGATCCGGTAGGCCGTCCGGCCAGACAGGTAGGTCCGGTAGGCCGTACAGCCAGATAGGTAGGTCCGGCCAGATAGGTACCTACGTAGGTCCAGCCGACCGGCCAGATAGGTAGTTTAGGCCTGCCAGATAGGTAGGTCCGGCCTGCCAGATAGGTAGGTCCGGCCAGACAGGTAGGTCTACCTGGTAGTTAATTGGTACATTTATATCATGAATTGACCAGAAAATGTACTTAGCTGGTATCCCAGGTCAGATGTAGCCCTTAATTAGAAGTATGAAAGCCAGACATTTCATCCCTTCGGGCCCTCCATTTAACAACCCTGCTGTATACTGTATACTGTTTCCTCAGGTGCACATGAACCCTCTGACAGTGGACGAGGGTGGGGAGTGCTGGGTTGGTCCGGACCACCTGTTGCTGACGGACCATGACTCTATGGAGGAGAGCCTGAGAGTGGAGCTGAAGAATGAGCCACAGCACGGAACTGTTCAGCTGGATGGCTTCCCCATTAAACCTGGCCTTCACTGTCCGCAACCAGAAAAGCTTAAAAGTTAGGTCAGATTTGATTGATGACACCTCATTCCTTGCACTTTTAAACACAGCAGCACTGATGTTAAGTTTGGATATGTTGACTGCATTCCAATGGCCACATTAGAATACAGTTTAGATCTCAGGAGGCTTCTGAGGGGAGGACCTCCTTCTCCAACAGTGACATCATGAACGGACACCAGGGGATCGAGCCGACCGCCGACCAGTTCATGCTCTGTCTCTCTGACGGGAAACACACCTCTGCCCACGTTCCCTTCTACGTCATCATTAACCCCATCAATGACGAGGTCCCGGAGTTCCTCGCCAGAAACATCACAGTGAGTCACCTGGCCGTCGTCAAACCATCAATTATCAACAGCGGAGGTTACCACCAACTCCGGTCCTGGAGAGCTACTGGATGTGGAGGGTTTTATTCAAGCCCATCACTAACACACCTGGTCCAGGC